ATTTCAATCCAGAAGTCTGTTTGGGTGCCGTTATAGACCGAATTTGTTCCCATAAGAGATATTGTGAATTAGATTAGTCCATTTCAGACCCCCAAAAATACACCTACAAAAGCACTTACAAAAATACACTTACATAATTGGTCGAGTTGGGAGCTGATCGTTTTGCGGGGGTCCACTGTACTGTACAGTGGTACCTCGGGATACGAACTGTTCAAAATTTGAACATTTATGTAAGTGATTTTTTAAGTGTATTTTTGGGGGTCTGAAACAGATTAATCTAATGTACATTATACCTTATGGGAACAAATTCATTCGGTATCGGCACTGGAGCAGTCTTCTGGAACTAATTAATTTCATATCCTGAGGTACCACTGTATTAGGAAAATGTTTGAAAAACATTGTCAATTTTGTATTTACATACTAGCTATTGCTCATTAAAATGATGTCACTTATACATCACTGTATACAGTACTGTATACCTTTTATAATACAGTGGACCCCCGACATTCGATGGCATCGACATTCGATAAATCCGACATTCAATGAATTTTAACGCAAAAATTTCGCCTCAACATTCGATGGAAAACCCGACATTCGATACGATTCGTACGAGACGTGTCCACATGTGGCCTGAACTGCACCGTGTGTGCCAGTGTTTACAAGCCAGCCAGTGTGCGCGCATCTAAGGATACATTCAGTACATTCCATATTATCACTGTTTTTGGTGCTTGTTTCTGCAAAATAAGTAACCATGGGCCTGCAACTAGTGGTGATGTGAGTGAATTTAAGGCCAGCAAAGGTTGGTTTGAAAGATTTAAGAATCGTAGTGGCATACACAGTGTGGTAAAGCATGGTGAGGCTGCCAGTTCAAGTCCTAATGGAAGGGGATTCCCCTTCTAAACACTAACACCATCCACACTCTCCCCTCCTCCCATCCCATCAATCATCACCAGATCTTTATTAAAGGGAAGTGTCAATTATTCTATTGTTATTGTTGTTATTGTAATTATTCTATTGCATTAAACTTAATATTTCATGTGGTAAATTTTTCTTTTTTCATGTCTTGCACGGATTAATTTGATTTCCATTATTTCTTATGGGGAAAATTAATTCGACTTTCGATATTTTTGACATTCGATAGCTCTCAGGAACGGATTAGTATCGAATGTCGAGGGTCCACTGTACAGAGGACCCCCGCCTTACAATATAATTTCATTCCAGAAGTATGTTCAGGTGCTGTTACCGAACGAATTTGTTCCCATAAGGAATATTGTAAATTAGATTAGTCTGTTTCAGACCCCCAAAAATACACATACAAACGCACTTACATAAATACACTTACATAATTGGTCGCATTGGGAACTGATCATAAGGCGGGGGTCCACTGTACATGTACAGTGGACCCCCGATTAACGATATTTTTTCATTCCAGAAGTATGTTCAGGTGCCAGTACTGACCGAATTTGTTCCCATAAGGAATATTGTGAAGTAGATTAGTCCATTTCAGACCCCCAAACATACACGTACAAATGCACTTACATAAATACACTTACATAATTGGTCACATTAGGAGGTGATCGTTAAGCAGGGGTCCACTGTGTTAAAAATAACAAATCACTAAAACACTTATACTGATAAAAATAAGAATTTTGATTAATAAGCTTTAAAAAACTCACTTTGATATTAACCCTTAAACTGTCCAAACGTAGATCTACATTTTTTTCAACATTTGAAAATATGTAAAAAAAGCAGATTTTTTTTTTTTACATTTGAAAATGTATAAAAAACTTTGATCTATGTCTTTTTTCTTGTTATATTTGAAAATACAGTGGTCCCCCGCTTTTCGTAGTTCCCGGCAATCGTAAAATTCGCCAATCATGGGGGTATTTTCGTATAAACATGGACTCGCTTTTCATAGGTTGACTCGCGAGTCGTATTTTGTTGTCCGGCGCGAAACCCCGGGGAGCCGGGGCGGCAGCCAGTCTGGCATTGTTTACCAGTGAGCGAAGGCCCCCTCACGTGCTCCAGCGAAATATTTCATAATATTCCATTATTTTAGTGCTTGCAAGTACTAAATAAGCTACCATGGCCCCAAAGAAAGCTCCTAGTCCCAAAGCCTGTGGTGAAGAAGGGTGAGAAATACGATTGAATTTAAGAAAACCATCATTGAACAAATTGAAAGTGGTAAAAGTGTGGCCAAAATGTCCAGGATGTATAAGAAACCCTACCCCAACCTTATGTTCCATAGTGACCAAGAAAAATGAAATAAAGGATGCTGTTGTTGCAAAGGGAGTAACTATGCTGACAAAAATGAGTTTCACCAGTACTGGAAGAGGTTGAGAAGTTATTTTTGGGGTTGGATAAATGAAAAAAACAATTAGCAGGAGATACTCTTATGACTTCGTTTTTTTGTGAAAAGGCTAGCAGTTGCTGAAGATTTGGTAAAGAAATTGCCTGCAAATAGTGGTGAAAGTGGGTAAATTTTAAAGGGCCCAGCAAAGGCTGGTTTGAGAGATTTAAGAACCGTACTGGCATAACAGTGTGGTAAGGCATGGTGAGGCTGCCAGTTCGGACCACAAGGCGGCTGAAAATATGTGCATGAATTCCCAGGAGTACTTTAGGGCTGAAGGAACTGAAACCTGAACAAGTGTTCAATTGTGACAAAACAGGCCTCTTTTGGAAGAAAATGCCAAAAGAGGACCTTCTTTTACCAAGAGGAAAAGGGCAATCCCAGGACACAAGCCAATGAAAGACAGGCTGACGCTAATGTTCTGTGCTAATGCTAGTGGGGATTTCAAAGTGAAGCCATTACTAGTGTAAACCCTTCTGAAAATCCCAGTGTGTTCAGGAAAAACAATGTTATGAAGAGTAAATTGTGTGTGTTTTGGAAATCTAAAAAGTAAGGGATGGGTCACGAGGGAATTTTCGTCGAGTGGTTCAATGAAGTGTTTGGCCCTAGGGGTGAAGGGTATCTCCGGAAAAGAAATTGGATCTCAAGTGCCTGCTAGTAATGGCAATGCACCTGCTCATCCTCCAAACTTGGAATGACCTAATTTTCGAGGAGTTTGGGTTCATCACAGTAAAGTTTTTGCCCCCGTATACCACTCTTCTCCTCCAACCCATGGACCAGCGGTTATTGCAAACTTTAAAAATCTACACAAAAACAATGTTTCACAGGTGCTTGACTGTTGACCACAGACACTCACTTGACCCTAAGGGAATTTTGGAGAGAACACTTCAGCATCCTCCACTGCTAACCCTTATAGGTATGGCTTGGGAGGGAGTGACTACCAGGACTTTGAACTCTGCCTGGAGAAATTGTGGCCAGATTTTGTGACAAGAGGATTTTGAAGAATTTGGGACTGACCCCCCCCAATGAGCCTATGTCTGTTTTAAAATCAATTGTGGGGACTGGGGAGTTCATGGGGTTGGATGTGAGTGTAGGATTGGAAGAATGGTGGAAGACCCCAATGAAGAGCTCACCACTGAGGAGCTGCAAGAGCTTCAGCAGGAAGAGCAACACATCACAGTCAGAATCTTGCTGCAGAGAAGGAGGAAGAGAGATGGAAGAAGGTGCCTTCTTCAGAAATTAAAGAGATTTTTACTATGTGGGGTAAGATGGAAAGCTTTATGGAGAAACATCACCCTAACAAGGTTGTTGCAAGCCAGGTTGGCAACATGTACAGTGACAAAGTCTTGGGCCATTTTAGGGAAGTGTTAAAGAGATGCCAGAAACAGAGCTCTCTCCACAGTTATTTTGCGAGACAGGACTCCAGTGACTCTCAAGGTGGTCCTAGTGGCATTAAGAAACAGAGAAGAGAAGCAACCCCAGAAAAGCAAATGGTACCTGAGGTGTTGATGGAAGGGGATTCCCCTTCCAAACTGTAAACAATCCAATCTCTCTCCTCCTCCAGTCTCCCATACACTAAGAAGAATCTCCAATAAAGGTAAGTGTTATGCTGTTAATGTTTCATTCATCATTTCCCATTGTATTGTTTATGTACTACATCTATATTTCATGTTAAAAAATTTTTTTGTTTTAATACTTCTGGGTGTCAGGAACGGATTAATTGTATTTACATTATTTCTTATGGGGAAAATTGATTCGTAAATCGTAAATTTCGTTTATAGTAATGGCTCCAGGAACGGATTAATTACGAACAACGAGGGACCACTGTATGTAAAAAAAACGTAGATCTACTTTTGGAGCACTACACATGTGAACATAGATCTGTTTGGACAGTTTAACCCGTAAACGGTCCAAGCAGATCTACGTTCACACGTGTAGTGCTATAAAAGTAGATCTACGTTTTTTTTTACATATTTTCAAATATAACAAAAAAAAAGTAGATCAAAGTTTTTTTACACATTTTCAAATGTAAAAAAACAAAAAGATCTATTTTTTTTTACAAACTTTCAAATGTTGAAAAAACGTATATATACGTTTGGACCGTTTACGGGTTAAGGCTTAATTATTTGTCTGCATTATATATGTGATCAAATCACTAGGTTAAATATTGTTTTTTCATATAAAAAAAGTTGGTATAATAGTGTCTTAATATGTTACAAAACTTCAAATAATGAAGCTACAGTAACAGATAACGACTGTTGACAATATTAAATATTTGTATCAAGTAATATTAAAGTAACTATATGTATATCATACATTATAAAAATTGAGAGTACATACATACAGTATATACATACATACAGTATATACATACATATTTTAACAGGTTTCTCACAAAGGCAGATGACTGAAAAAACGAAAACATACAGTACATACTGAAATATAAATATGTACACCTACCATCCAACTTACGACCTGCTCGACATACGACGACTCGACTTACGACCGTGTTTTTTATGCCAAATTTCTGGGAAATAAACAACTATTTGTGTTGTACACAGTGTTTATCCTAAACCTTACAGTATAAAATACAGTACTAACAGCATAAAAAGTAAAGTAAAACATGAAATACCAAAATAAAACAATAAAATAAAGTCATTACAAAAATTTTATGTTGATATTCAGTAGTAAAGTTCGACTTACGACCGGTTTCTCGGAACCGAACTCGGTCGTAAGTCGGATGGTCGGTGTAAACTGAAATGAAAATATTTCTTTACTGATTGAATTTAGAGTTTACCTATACAAATGAAAGTGACTTATGTACAAAATTTACACTAAAAGTAGGATCCATTCTTTATGAAAATGTATAAAATTATCAACTATCTGATTGTACAAAGCAATATACTAATATATAAATGTTGTATATGTAATATAAACAGTATAAAATGAACTGATTTGCAAGACGGGAACGTTTCAAATCACAAACGATTTTCTCAAGGTTATTTACTTGGCGTCTACCCAGGGAGTGCTCTGGGGGTCAATGACTCCATGACGTGGTCCCAGACCAGGCCTCCCAGTGAGTGACTCCATGACCTGGTCCTAGACCAGGCCTCCCAGTGAGTGACTCCATGACCTGGTCCTAGACCAGGCCTCCCAGTGAGTGACTCCATGACCTGGTCCCAGACCAGGCCTCCCAGTGAATGACTCCATGACCTGGTCCCAGACCAGGCCTCCCAGTGAATGACTGCATAACCTGGTCCCAGACCAGGTCTCCCAGTGAATGACTCCATAACCTGGTCCCAGACCAGGCCTCCCAGTGAATGAACTGATCAACCAGGCTATTGACTCTATATATTAATGGTACTTGGAAATGCTGGAAGTTTAAATAATAAAGTTATTGTCAGGTAAAAAAAAACACAAGTGCGCCTAATACGACATTTTATCATGGCAACGTTTTACTCTCCAGGAGCTTTGACAGCTTGACGACGCTTCTGGAGAGCAAAACGTTGCCACAATAAAATGCCACATTAATTACACTTGTGTCCTTTTACCTAACATATTGTTGGCAATTCTCCCAATATTATTTATTCTGCACCAAGGCACCACAATTATTGGGGTCCTAATTATCTATCAGTATGCTAACAAATAAATAAAATTTAAGAGACTAGTTTGATAAATTTCTGTGATCCAGATTAAAAATTATACAGATGTAACTACAAACACTGTTAGAAACTATTACGTAAAAAAATATTATTTCCTTTTTGTATTTGAATCTGAAATATTTTGCATTTTATTCCTTGCTGTATTGAACTTTTAAGTTTTTAAAAACTGATGAAGACAAAAATCCACATCGATTGTTCTTATCAAAATCAAGAAATAGTCATTCAAATTCTCACAGTAGACCTACAAAAGTGTATTATTTGGTCTATATTCATTTCAGTACCTTAAAAAATAATTAACCTCAAAATAAAAGTTGTGTATGGAACACTTAAGTGGACAGATGCAACATACATATAATTATTTTTAGCAAATTACCCCAGGTAGAGGGTCTGCAGAATGCTTGAAGTATTCAACTATAGCTTCAATGCTGGCGTAAGTTCCTGTGACAAAGCACACGATTCCAAATGTGAAGAATAAAGCACACTTGATCATGGTGAATCTTGTTACTCTGGAAAAGAAAAAGCCTAATTTTGATAACTTATATAAAGCATAGGTGCTCCTTGACTTACAACAGGATTACATTCTGACAAACCCATCATAGGTTGAATATGAATATAATTTTTTTTTCCAACACGTTGGCCATCTCCCACCGAGGCAGGGTGACCCAAAAAGAAAGAAAAGCCCCCCCAAAAAAACTTTCATCATCATTCAACACTTTTACCATCACTCATCCATAATCACTGTCTCTGTAGAGGTGCTCAGATATGACGGTTTAGACGTCCCTCCAAACTGCCAATATCCCAAACCCCTCCTTTAAAGTGCAGGCATTGTACTTCCCATTTCCAGGACTCAAGTCTGGCTAACCAGTTTCCCTGAATCCCTTCACAAAATATTACCCAGCTCACACTCCAACAGCTCATCAGGTCTCAAAAACCATTCACCTCCATTCACTTCTAACACACTCATGCATGCTTGCTAAATAAATAAGCAAATAAATAACTACATGTACTGTCACTGAATAAGTAAATAAATAATTACTGTAACTTACTAAATACCAGTATTGAAAAGTAAATAAATAATTACAAGCTATGGACTTGCTGCCTTCATGCTGGCTAATTATCTTAAGATTTATTTCTAAAGTAATTACTACTGCACCATTGTCAAGTCAAAATATAAGTCAAACCATTGTAAGTCAAGGAGCACCTGTATGCAAGTTACTGTTCAGCTAAAAATTATATTACAGGTCTGAATGTTATTCAACATTAGTGCCATCACATATTATGGTATTAGTTACATCAGTCAGACTGACATCACACATTATGGTATTAGTTACATCAGTCAGACTGACATCACACATTATGGTATTAGTTAGATCAGTCAGACTAACATCACACATTATGGTATTAGTTAGATCAGCCAGACTGACATCACACATTACGGTATTAGTTAGATCAGTCAGACTAACATCACACATTACGGTATTAGTTAGATCAGCCAGACTGACATCACACACTTACCATAGGCTGCTTTTATTGGTAAATATTCCTCTTTCCCATTTACTCTAACTTAAATAAAGCCTTGAAGCTTCTCATAAACTCTACAACTGACCACCTGAAGAGCAGAGCAACAAGCTGACAGGCAGTATAAAAACACATAATGAAGATGGTTATTTTATATGACATGTAGCCTCATATTTGCCCTATCCTGCCTATCCTGTGCCTTTCCCAAATACGTACATACAACAGCTTCCTCCCTTTATCTAAGCGTGTTTCACATGTACAAACATTCAGCTCCATCTTCGTCTATTTTCAAGCTTCCTCTCTAAATTGTTAAATAGTTTCCAAATTATTACTGTAGGTATAATCTCGGCACAGATTTGAAAATATGTACAGACAGCATTGGCTGGAAACTTCATTATACAGTGGACCCCCGCTTAACGATCACCTCCCAATGCCACCAATTATGTAAGTGTATTTATGTAAGTGCGTTTGTACGTGTATGTTTGGGGGTCTGAAATGGACTAATCTACTTCACAATATTCCTTATGGGAACAAATTCGGTCAGTACTGGCACCTGAACATACTTCTGGAATGAAAAAATATCGTTAACTGGGGGTCCACTGTATTATGAAAATTTGCATAAACAAAATGTAAATCTTACCTTGGCCAAAATGTAACTATTTCTAAGATGGGTGGAAAAATGATGGCCAAGGCAGATGATGACACTGCGCCCACTAGTGAGATAAACAATCCAATGTTTGGAATGGCTGCTGCGAAGATAACTGAAAAAAAATATTCATTAAGTGCATTCTCTTGTATCTATGTAAAAACTATTACAATAATTTAGTCTTCAGAAAGTTTCAAATTTATTAAATTTCTGTATATTGAAGAATTAACTGGTTAAGTTTATTATATGCTGTAAGAATGTTCATTTGCAGTCCAGTATAGTATTACATAAATTGTTCATTGGAAATAATATACAGTGATTAAGTTAACTGAAGTGATTTTTTTTTTTTTTCAACAAGTTGGTCGTTTCCCACCGAGGCAGAGTGACCCACCGAGGCAGGGTGACCCACCGAGGCAGGGTGACCCACCGAGGCAGGGTGACCCACCGAGGCAGGGTGACCCACCGAGGCAGGGTGACCCACCGAGGCAGGGTGACCCACCGAGGCAGGGTGACCCACCGAGGCAGGGTGACCCACCGAGGCAGGGTGACCCACCGAGGCAGGGTGACCCACCGAGGCAGGGTGACCCACCGAGGCAGGGTGACCCACCGAGGCAGGGTGACCCACCGAGGCAGGGTGACCCACGAGGCAGGGTGACCCACGGAGGCAGGGTGACCCACCGAGGCAGGGTGACCCACCGAGGCAGGGTGACCCACCGAGGCAGGGTGACCCACCGAGGCAGGGTGACCCACCGAGGCAGGGTGACCCACCGAGGCAGGGTGACCCACCGAGGCAGGGTGACCCACCGAGGCAGGGTGACCCACCGAGGCAGGGTGACCCACCGAGGCAGGGTGACCCACCGAGGCAGGGTGACCCACCGAGGCAGGGTGACCCACCGAGGCAGGGTGACCCACCGAGGCAGGGTGACCCACCGAGGCAGGGTGACCCACCGAGGCAGGGTGACCCACCGAGGCAGGGTGACCCACCGAGGCAGGGTGACCCACCGAGGCAGGGTGACCCACCGAGGCAGGGTGACCCACCGAGGCAGGGTGACCCACCGAGGCAGGGTGACCCACCGAGGCAGGGTGACCCACCGAGGCAGGGTGACCCACCGAGGCAGGGTGACCCACCGAGGCAGGGTGACCCACCGAGGCAGGGTGACCCACCGAGGCAGGGTGACCCAAAAAAGAAAGAAAATCCCCAAAAAGAAAATACTTTCATCATCATTCAACACTTTCACTTCACTCACACATTATCACTGTTTTTGCAGAGGTGCCCAGAATACAAAAGTTTAGAAGCATACACATATAAAAATACACAACATATCCCTCCAAACTGCCAATATCCTAAACCAAAAGGGGTTATTTCACTTAAATGTCTTAATTTTTGATTAAGGAAATTTTTTTTTAACACATTGGCCATCTCCCACCGAGGCAAGGTGACCCGATAAAGAAATACTTTCATCATCATTCACACTATCACTACCTTGCCAGAGGTGCACAGATACAGCAGTTTGGATGCCCCTCCAAACAGCAAAAATCCCGATCTCCTCCTTTAGAGTACAAGCATTGTACAGTGTACCCCCGGTTTACGATATTATTTCATTCCAGAAGTATGTTCAGGTGCCAGTATTGACCGAATTTGTTCCCATAAGGAATATTGTGAATTAGATTAGTCCATTTCAGACCCCCAAACATACACATACAAATGCTCTTACATAAATACACTTACATAATTGGTCGCATTGGGAGCTGATCGTAAACTGGGGGTCCACTGTACTTCCCACCTCTAGGACTCAAGTCTGGCTAACTGGTTCCCTGAATCCCTTCACAAAATAGTACCCAGCTCACACTCCAACAGCTCGTCAGGTCCCAATACTTACATGTTATGAGTACCAGAAATGCTCTGAATGCATACTCCCCAAGACGTTTTGCCCTGGTAGAGTGAAACCTTGAGCTCAGGTGAGGCCACATAATCTCAGCAGGAACATATAGCATAAGAGAATATGTGAGGTAGATTGCAAGAGCCATCAATATCTTCACCATCTGTGCTAAACTGAAAAATGAAAAATATTCATCAATATATTAACTACAAATATAGGCAGTAGGTTGGTAGACAGCAACCACCCAGGGAGGTACTACCGTCCTGCCAAGTGAGTGTAAAACTGAAGCCTGTAATTGTTTTACATGATGGTAGGATTGCTGGTGTCTTTTTTTTATCTGTCTCATACACATGCAAGATTTCAGGTATGTCTTGCTACTTCTACTTACACTTAGGTCACACTACACATACATGTACAAGCATATATATGCACACCCCTTTGGGTTTTCTTCTATTTTCTTTCTAGTTCTTGTTCTTGTTTATTTCCTCTTACCTCCATGGGGAAGTGGAACAGAATTCTTCCTCCGTAAGCCATACGTGTTGCAAGAGGCGACTAAAATGCCGGGAGCAAGGGGCTAGTAACCCCTTCTCCTGTATATATTACTAAATGTAAAAGGAGAAACTTTCGTTTTTCCTTTTGGGCCACCCCGCCTCGGTGGGCCACCCCGCCTCGGTGGGATACGGCCGGTGTGTTGGAAGAAAGAAAGATTAACTACAAACACCCATTCATGCATGAATAAATAATACATTTAAAAAATAATCATATGTATACAGCAATGTTCACTGAGAGCTCGTTTATCTACATTGTTATTATAATCACAAGGGAAGCACTAAACCTGTACAAGTCTTATAGTGCTCAGAGAACAGGAGGTAATCAGGTTTGACCCCTCAAAAACAGGGAAGATAGATCCAATTTCCCAGATCAAGTCCTTTATTAGCATCAAAGGAGGTGAGTATGTTGCAATTTTGAGACTTATTTCAATTAGAATGTCTCTGCACTTTTGGCAAGACAGCAAATGAATGATGGTGTGAAAGTTTTCATTCTTGCTTTCACCACCTTGGTGAAAAATGGTCAATGTGATAAAAAAATAAATCCTGGCAGACTCTGAGGTAGGGCCACCCAAAAAATTAGAAATACTTTCACCGTCATTCATTCAGTCGCTGTTTTGCCAAAAGTGTGTTGACATCAAGGTTCAGATGACTCTCTGAACTGTAGCATCCCCACTTTTCCTTCAGAGTGCAGGCAGCACTGTACTTCCCACCTCCAGGACTCAAGTCCAACTAACCAGCTTCTCTGAATTCCTTCATACATATTACCTTGATCACACTCCAACAACACATCAAATCATAAAAACCACCTGTTTCCATGCATTCATACCTAACATAAAAATAGTAGAAACAATTCATCATAAGCAAATGTTCAACTGGATGCAAAAATTGTAGCAAAGCATGGGTTTGCAATGCTTGAATTCTTAAATGGTAGTATAAAAATAAATGGAAATGGGAAGTACAATGCCTGCACTTTAAAGGAGGGGTTTAGGATATTGGCAGTTTGGAGGGATATGTTGTGTATCTTTATACGTATATGCTTCTAAACTGTTGTATTCTCAGCACCTCTGCAAAAACAGTGATAATGTGTGAGTGTGGTGAAAGTGTTGAATGATGAAAGTATTTTCTTTTTGGGTCACCCTGCCTCGGTGGGAGACCCCCGACTTGTAGAAAAAAAAAATAAAAGTCAATTAACTTACTACTACTACAACTCTACACTGTACATTGTTGGTCAAGCCTCATAGATTAAACAATGCAGTTTAGGTAATCATACTTAAGATTGATCATAATTTTAACTTCACTAAAAAACATGCAAGACTCTTTTTCTAGAAAGATCAAGAGAGAATAATGAGCCTACACTCTTAACCTGTAAACGGTCCAAGCAGATCTACGTTCACATGTGTAGTGCTCCAAAAGTAGATCTACGTTTTTTTTACATATTTTCAAATATAACAAAAAAAAGTAAATCAAAGTTTTTTACACATTTTCAAATGTAAAAAAAAAAAAAATCTACTTTTTTTACATACTTTCAAATGTTGAAAAAACGTATACAGTGTACCCCCAGTTAACGATATTTTTTCATTCCAGAAGTATGTTCGGGTGCCAGTACTGACCGAATTTGTTCCCATAAGGAATATTGTGAAGTAGATTAGTCCATTTCAGACCCCCAAACATACACATACAAACGCACTTCCATAAATACACTTACATAATTGGTCGCATTGGGAGGTGATCGTTAAGCGGGGGTCCACTGTATATACGTTTGGACCGTTTACGGGTTAAAAGGCACAGAATACAAGGGGATTTAACTGAAGTGTACAAATAAAAAATGGGCATCAATAAAAGCCAAAGTACTAAAAATATCCAACCAAAACAGAATCTGAAATAATAGATTCAAGTTACATAAATTTAGATTCAGAAAAGAAATAAGAAAGTCACTGGTTCAGCAACAGTTATGTATCAGGAGAATGACCTGCCAGGTAGTCACTGAATGACCTCCCAGGTAGTCACTGAATGACCTGCCAGGTAGTCACTGAATGACCTGCCAGGTAGTCACTGAATGACCTGCCAGGTAGTCACTGAATGACCTGCCAGGTAGTCACTGAATGACCTGCCAGGTAGTCACTGAATGACCTGCCAGGTAGTCACTGAATGACCTGCCAGGTAGTCACTGAATGACCTGCCAGGTAGTCACTGAATGACCTGCCAGGTAGTCACTGAATGACCTGCCAGGTAGTCACTGAATGACCTGCCAGGTAGTCACTGACACAGATGGGTAGGAAAGATACATGAGTTGGGTGTGAGAGTGTCTATCCAAGACAACACAAGATTATCCCTCACAATAGGACAATAATTCCATGTGGAAGTAGAGAAGAATTCTTCCTCCACAAGTCATGTGTGTTGTAAGAGGCAACTAAAATGCCAGGAGCAAGAGGCTAGTAACCTTCTGTATAAATTACTAAATGTAAAAAGAAGAAAAGCTTTCATGTTTTCTTTTTCGGGTCACCCTGCCTCAGTGGGAGACGGCCAATGTATTAAAAAATAGGACAATAAATAGTTAATTCCATATTTTATTTAATGTATGTTTGTTCCCTCAGAGCAGCTTATTCAGCCAAGACTGCACTATTCACATTCTGTCTCGTCTAATCACTCACCAGTTCACAAACTTGCCTCTTAATGAGGTACAACTATCCATCAGCTGCTAATGTCGGCTACTTCCAAGTTATTTTTTCAACACACCATTCATCCCCCACCAAGGCAGGATGACCCAAAAAAGAAGAAATGAAAGAGTTTTCTTTCTTTTTATATTTAGTAATTTATACAGGAGAAGGTTATTAATATTTTGCTCCAGGCATTTTAGTCGCCTTTTACAACACTCATGGCTTACACAGAAGGATGGTTCTTCTCCACATCCCTAATAAAGTTCTTGTTAACCTTTAAATGGTCCAAACGTATATATACGTTTTTTCAACATCTGAAAGTATGTAAAAAAATATAGATCTTTTTTGTTTTACATTTGAAAATGTGTAAAAAACTTTTATCTACTTTTTTTTTTGTTATATTTGAAAATATGTAAAAAAAGTAGATCTACTGTTGGAGCACTACGAATTTGAACGTCGATCTGTTTGGACCATTTGAGGGTTAATAAACCATAAAAGCTGTGTGTAAGGATCTAGAGATGGTGAACTTATGAACTGTGCTTCCAATACGCTTCAGAATTAATTAGGAAAGGAGCTGAAAATACACAGTACTTATTATTTATTTTTTTTATTATCACACTGGCCGATTCCCACCAAGGCAGGGTGGCCCGAAAAAGAAAAACTTTCACCATCATTCACTCCATCACTGTCTTGCCAGAAGGGTGCTTTACACTACAGTTTTTAAACTGCAACATTAACACCCCTCCTTCAGAGTGCAGGCACTGTACTTCCCATCTCCAGGACTCAAGTCCGGCCTGCCGGTTTCCCTGAACCCCTTCATAAATGTTACTTTGCTCACACTCCAACAGCATGTCAAGTATTAAAAACCATTTGTCTCTATTCACTCCTATCAAACACGCTCACGCATGCCTGCTGGAAGTCCAAGCCCCTCGCACACAAAACCTCCTTTACCCCCTCCCTCCAACCTTTCCTAGGCCGACCCCTACCCCACCTTCCTTCCACTACAGACTGATACACTCTTGAAGTCACTCTGTTTCGCTCCATTCTTTCTACATGTCCGAACCACCTCAACAACCCTTCCTCAGCCCTCTGGACAACAGTTTTGGTAATCCCGCACCTCCTCCTAACTTCCAAACTACGAATTCTCTGCATTATATTCACACCACACATTGCCCTCAGACATGACATCTCCACTGCCTCCAGCCTTCTCCTCGCTGCAACATTCATCACCCACGCTTCACACCCATATAAGAGCGTTGGTAAAATTATACTCTTATACATTCCCCTCTTTGCCTCCAAGGACAAAGTTCTTTGTCTCCACAGACTCCTAAGTGCACCACTCACCCTTTTCCCCTCATCAATTCTATGATTCACCTCATCTTTCATAGATCCATCCGCTGACACGTCCACTCCCAAATATCTGAATACATTCACCTCCTCCATACTCTCTCCCTTCAATCTGATATCCAATCTTTCATCACCTAATCTTTTTGTTATCCTCATAACCTTACTCTTTCCTGTATTCACTTTTAATTTTCTTCTTTTGCACACCCTACCAAATTCATCCACCAATCTCTGCAACTTCTCTTCAGAATCTCCCAAGAGCACAGTGTCATCAGCAAAGAGCAACTGTGACAACTCCCACTTTATGTGTGATTCTTTATCTTTTAACTCCACGCCTCTTGCCAAGACCCTCGCATTTACTTCTCTTACAACCCCATCTATAAATATATTAACCCTTTGACTGTTTCAGGCCCCTTTCTGAAACTGTCATTCTATGTCGCTAAATTTTTGAAAAAAAAAAAAAAAAAAAAAAAAAAAAAAAATCTTATGAAATGATAGAGAATCTTTTTCTGATGGTAATGACACCAAAAGTTCGAGATTTGGTCGAAAACTCATGGAATTACGCTCCCGCGAAGTTAGCGGTGTCGGCGACATATGCGTATCGGCGATTTCGTCAACTTTGAGCCCTATTTTCAGCCAATTCCGTTGTTCCAGTTGACCAAACTCATAGCTATTTCTTTAGAACTCCATTTTATCTATCTGCTGAGTACAAGAAACCTCCCATTTACCAATTTGGACTACCCAATATTGTGGTAAGAAATTGGCAATTTGGCCAATTTCACACAAACTAAAAAAGATGCCAATTTCAAAATAGGGTCCAGAATAAACAAGGTAGACATTCTTGGCACTAAAATAACATATCCTCTGTTCATTAGTCACATCTCTAGGCCCCTCTTATATTATTATTGCTTTCTATTTTGATTTTTTATTCATACAAAAAAATACAAAATTTACTGTTATGCAGACTACTGCATTATTGTAAAAATGGTATAAATAATATCATTGCACTAGTGAAAGAATATTAGACTCCCCAGTTGACGTGTATTGGACGTGTGGTGTGATTTGTTTACTCCTGAACATTGGTAAAAATCGAACATTTCCGCTACTTTGAGCTCAGTTTCAAGGTCGTTTTCATTGTCAAAGTAATGAAAATCATCTCTATTTCTGTAATGTTTTCCATTTTATCACCTAAGACCATGAAAACGCAAATACATCGATAAATACTATATGAAAATACACCTCAAAGTCGGCGTTTTAATCCAAAAAAACGATCAGTTTTTTTTCTCATTACGCACTGTGTGCTGCAGGATTTTTTTTATGTGGTGCACACTGACCACACAGACCCATTCTCTCACATGTGAGCCTACCAGCTTTCTTCCGCTTGATTTGAAGCCGCTAGAATTATTGAGTATATATACATCTGAAACACTGGCTCGTAAGACGTATATATACAACCAAAACAGTCAAAGGGTTAAACAACCACGGTGACATCACACATCCTTGTCTAAGGCCTACACAGTACTTATAGCTCCTTTTAAAAGCAAGGTTCAATTCAGGTTCATAAAACTCTGCTATTAACCCGTAAACGGTCCAAACGTATATATACGTTTTTTCAACATTTGAAAGTTTGTAAAAAAAGTAGATCTTCTTTTTGTTTTTTTTACATTTGAAAATGTGTAAAAAAAACTTTGATCTACTTTTTTTTTGTTATATTTGAAAATATGTAAAAAAAAAACGTAGATCTACTTTTGTAGCACTACACATGTGAACGTAGATCTGCTTGGACCGTTTACGGGTTAAATGGCATAGTCAGAGTAACAAAAATTCTGACAGACATCTTAATCTGACCAGCCTGGCTGTGGTTCGTATATTGGTTTACATGCGGCCAGATCAACCTGGTTGATCAGGCCCTGATCCACCACAAGGCTTGGTCAGGGACCAGGCCGAGGGGGGGGGCATTGATCCCCGGAACACCCTCCAGATATATCTATCTATTGGAACAGTCAAGTTTAAATAAATAAGATTATTAACATAATACTAAAATGTTAAAAAGCGATGGAGAACTTACTTATCGCTCGGGGGAATATTTAAAGTGATGGATCCATGTACAGCATCACCATATTTGAGGTAACCAAAGAAACCCACCGCAATATAACTACAAGTGACTAGAATCATGGCAGTATTAAGGACGCCATTACATCCACGGAAATCTTCTGGATTTGTCATCTTTCTTTCTAAAGGAAGAACCTGAGGAAAAATAATATTAGCTTAAGCAAGAAAATAAAAATGAACTGAACATTATAATTGCTTACACAACTACAACACAGAATTATTTTCAACTAAGAGGCGTAATAATCACCATAATAATCACCATAATAATCACCATAATAATCACCATAATAAAGAAGAAACTTATAGAAAATTAATAAACACAGTCTAATTAAAATTCAATATTTATTCATGTTAAATTTGTGTACAACATTTGAAGAACGGTAATGGGTTTTCAATAGTTTAAAAATTAAGTTTATATTTACAATAAAAACAATAATGGTCCTGATTATGGTCATGACTTAATAATGATCCCGAAGAGATTGTGACTTTAAAGTTACTTCTCCAAGTCATGAGTTAGTTGTGATTTGATTTATTTATTAATTTACCAAAAGTCATACATTCTTTAGTTCTATCCTTCTGTCTATTTAAGACACTTTCTGTGAGTACCTTTTTTCTTGGATCTTATGCAAAAAAAAGTAGATCTACGTTCGGAGTGCTACGCATGTGAACGTAGATCTACGTTTGGACAGTTTAAGGGTTAATAATGTCTCTGACTGCCATCTGACTCCATTACCAGAGAAATTCATCTGACTGATGAACTTCTCTGGTAATGCTTGTCTGTGACCTGACCACAGACAAGCATTACCCACAAGTTCAACAACACCTGCAGTCACACAAAGAGGGATAATATTAAAAGATACAAGAAATAATTAACAAGCACAACAACTTACCACACCTATACCCTCAAAGGCATAAATGGAAGTTCCAAGGAAAAGTGGCAGCTGTTTCCACGACTTAAATTCAGGACGGTCGTATGAAGACGGTATATCTTGGAGCAAATAACGAAATGTGATGGCCAGGCCTAGGCCTAGGAAGACATTACTAATGAGAGAGAATGGTGCCAGCACCTGCAGAAAAAATATATGCTGTTTGAAATAAAATTGGAATTAGTATTAGAAGTATAGTTGGCAATGCTTGAAAATTATCTCCACTTTCTAATCACTACCTATATATTACTTTCAAGTCGTATATCCATTATTTATATCACCATCATGCTTATACTATATGTGCACCACTACTATATACACCACCACCACTACTATATGCACTGCCACCACTACTATATACACCACCACCACTACTATATACACCACCACCACTACTATATGCACTGCCACCACTACTATATACACCACTACCACTACTATATGCACTGCCACCACTACTATATACACCACCACCACTACTATATACACCACCACCACTACTATATACACTGCCACCACCACTATATACACCACCACCACTACTATATACACCACCACCACCACTATATACACCACCACCACTACTATATACACCACCACCACTATATACACCACCACCACCACTATATACACCACCACCACCACTATATACACCACCACCACTACTATATACACCACCACCACTACTATATACACCACCACCACTACTATATACACTGCCACCACCACTATATACACCACCACCACTACTATATACACCACCACCACCACTATATACACCACCACCACTACTATATACACCACCACCACTATATACACCACCGCCACTACTTTATACACCACCACCACTACTATATACACCACCACCACCACTATATACACCACCGCCACTACTATATACACCACCGCCACTACTATATACACCACCGCCACTACTATATACACCACTGCCACTACTATATACATCACCGCCACTACTATATACACCACCACCACTACTATATACACCACCGCCACTACTATATACACCACCGCCACTACTATATACACCACTGCCACTACTATATACATCACTGCCACTACTATATACACCACCACCACTACTATATACACCACCACCACTACTATATACACCACAACTTCAAGAGACAAGTATACCGCAGTAACTACTGAAACTTCCTTGCTAAGCTCTTAACCTGAAACAACTAAAAAAAAAATAAATAATAGCAGTAAAGAGTTTTACTCACAGTTTGAGTATTCTCACAATGTTTTACATTAGCCATACTATATGCATTATAAATAACAAAAAAGGCACAATACCGTGACTGGAACGATACACAAATAACCCGCACATAAAAGAGAGAAGCTTACGACGACGTTTCGGTCCGACTTGGACCATTGACAAAGTCAAAGTGTGACTTTGTCAATGGTCCAAGTCGGACCGAAACGTCGTCGTAAGCTTCCCTCTTTTATGTGCGGGTTATTTGTGTATCTATATGCACTATCTTCACTAGACAGGTTACACTTCCAACACAGAAGCATTTTATTAATTCATTTATTTTTTTAACACGCTGTCTCCCACCGAGGCAGGGTCACCCAAAAAAGAAAAATTTTCACAATCATTCACGCATAATCACTGTCTCTACAAAGGTGCTCAGATAAGACAGCACAGATGTCACTCCAAACAGCCAATATCCCAAAACCCTCCATTAAAGAACTAATCCTAATGCTGAAGTAATCATTAACCCGTAAATGGTCCAAGCAGATCTATGTTCACATGTGTAGTGCTACAAAAGTAGATCTAATTTTTTTTTTACATATTTTCAAATATGGATTTACGGATTTGGAAAAGGCGTATGACAGGGTGGATGTTGCAGGTGTATGGTGTAGGAGGTAGGTTACTGAAAGCAGTGAAGAGTTTTTACGAGGATAGTGAGGCTCAAGTTAGAGTATGTAGGAAAGAGGGAAATTATTTCCCAGTAAAAGTAGGCCTTAGACAAGGATGTGTGATGTCACCGTGGTTGTTTAATATATTTATAGATGGGGTTGTAAGAGAAGTAAATGCGAGGGTCTTGGCAAGAGGCGTGGAGTTAAAAGATAAAGAATCACACATAAAGTGGGAGTTGTCACAGTTGCTCTTTGCTGATGACACTGTGCTCTTGGGAGATTCTGAAGAGAAGTTGCAGAGATTGGTGGATGAATTTGGTAGGGTGTGCAAAAGAAGAAAATTAAAAGTGAATACAGGAAAGAGTAAGGTTATGAGGATAACAAAAAGATTAGGTGATGAAAGATTGGATATCAGATTGGAGGGAGAGGGTATGGAGGAGGTGAATGTATTCAGATATTTGGGAGTGGACGTGTCAGCAGATGGGTCTATGAAAGATGAGGCGAATCAGAATTGATGAGGGGAAAAGGGTGAGTGGTGCACTTAGGAGTCTGTGGAGACAAAGAACTTTGTCCTTGGAGGCAAAGAGGGGAATGTATGAGAGTATAGTTTTACCAACGCTCTTATATGGGTGTGAAGCATGGGTGATGAATGTTGCAGCGAGGAGAAGGCTGGAGGCAGTGGAGATGTCGTGTCTGAGGGCAATGTGTGGTGTGAATATAATGCAGAGAATTCGTAGTTTGGAAGTTAGGAGGAGGTGCGGGATTACCAAAACTATTGTCCAGAGGGCTGAGGAAGGGTTGTTGAGGTGGTTCAGACATGTAGAGAGAATGGAGCAAAACAGAATGACTTCAAGAGTGTATCAGTCTGTAGTGGAAGGAAGGCGGGGTAGGGGTCGGCCTAGGAAAGGTTGGAGGGAAGGGGTAAAGGAGGTTTTGTGTGCGAGGGGCTTGGACTTCCAGCAGGCATGTGTGAGCGTGTTTGATAGGAGTGAATGGAGACAAATGGTTTTTAATACTTGACGTGCTGTTGGAGTGTGAGCAAAGTAACATTTATGAAGGGTTCAGGGAAACCGGCAGGCCGGACTTGAGTCCTGGAGATGGGAAGTACAGTGCCTGCACTCTGAAGGAGGGGTGTTAATGTTGCAGTTTAAAAACTGTAGTGTAAAGCACCCTTCTGGCAAGACAATGATAGTGAAAGTTTTTCTTTTTTGGGCCACCCTGCCTTGGTGGGAATCGGCCAGTGTGATAATAAAATAATTTTCAAATATAACAAAAAAAAAAAGTAGATCAAAGTTTTTTTACACATTTTCAAATGTAAAAAAACAAAAAGAAGATCTACTTTTTTTACAAACTTTCAAATGTTGAAAAAACGTATATATACGTTTGGACCGTTTACGGGTTAAGTCTTATACCTATCCCTTCAGACGTGCAGGTTTATTCTCTTTTATACTGTTGTTTTCATGTGCTTACTCAGGATAACATAAAAACAAACACGCCTTATATCACATAACGGGTAAATAAATCAATTAAACTATAACAAATGTACAATGAATTTAATTACAATTCTTTGATAAAATATTAAGAAGGCTTACCTTAAGAGAACGAATCATAGATATGGCCAATAGAGGTACAAACAGGATGACCATGTAACCATGAATGTCGATGCCGTTGTCTGGGAATTTGCAGTCAATAACCTGTTGAAAAAAAACATTTTTTTTTTTTAGAATATCAACGAATTTACCTTTCTTACCTAGAAATAGATTTGTTTTATGATTATGCAATGAGTGTCTGTTTTAGCTAAATACTACAGTGTCAGCAAGTGCCCAGACTGGGCTCTGGAACTTCCCAGATGTGGGTCTTAAACAGAGCCCTGGAACAAAAGAAGGGTTCAACTCTGCCTGTGGAAAAGAGAGGCACTCAAATATGATCCATAGGTGATGACAGATCCATTACTTAATCAAAAGCCCTGCCATGACATTTGATGAAATAATGTTCTAGGACCATTTAAACAACATAATAGAATATTTTTTTTTTTCAACGAACTGCCGCATCCCACCAAGGCAGGGAAATACTGACAATATACTGTACGTATTAGGTAAAAGGGTATGTGCAACTAATGTGACATTTTATTGTGGCAACGTTTTGCTCTCCAGGAGCTTTGTCAAGCTCCTGGAGAGCGAAACGTTACCACAATAAAATGTCACATTAGTTGTACATGTTATTTTACCTAACATAGTTAAATAAGATAAGCGCTAGGAGGATAAACAGAATATTAACCCTTTTAACTAATCATGGATTCATAAATAAAGCAAGTCTAATTAAATTACCTGAAGTACATTTTAATTTCATTCATACAAATGTTACAGTTGTGGGAGTCATATGAGATGTGATTTGTAAAGAAATAAGAAGGTACAATACTGTGACCGGAACAATACACAAATAACTCAAACATGGGAAAGAAACTTATGACGTTTTGGTCCAGCTAGTTAATGGTCCAAGCTGGACCGGAACGTTGTCGTAAGTTTCTTTCTCTCATTTGTGGATTATTTGTGTAATGTGACGTGAGAGACGGGTAAGGTTCCCAGGTGATGCTGTTATCCACTCGGCCACAAATTCCTCAAAAGCTGGGCAGCCTGGTTCATAAGCCAGGTTTTTTTACAGCCGGGCACATCAGTGAGCCTCAAGCATGGATTTGAGCAAGGATTCAAACAAGGGTTCAAGCAAGGATTCAAGCAAGGATTCATGCAAATATTCAAGCAAGGATTCAAGCATGGATTCATGCAAGGATTCATGCAAGGATTCAAGCATGGATTCAAGCAAGGATTCAGGATAGGAGTCAAGCAAGGATTGAAGCTTGGATTCAAGCTATTTCAATGTGTGTGTGTGTTGTGGTTGTTATATGGGTTAATTTTTAATAAATGCTATTTGAACACAGCTACCAGTAATAAAATGTTGCTACCAGTAACAATATGTAACTACAAGAAGCATAAGGTAACTACCACTAGCACAAAGTAGCTACTTCTAGAAACGCAGCACGGGAATGAATAATGGTGAAGGTGTTACAAGGTAGCTACCACTAGCACGAAGTAGCTACTTCTAGAAACGCATCACGGGAATGAATAATGGTGAAGGTGTTACAAGGTAGCTACCACTAGCACGAAGTAGCTACTTCTAGAAACGCAGCACGGGAATGAATGATAGTGACTGCGCTTCCTTCTTTATATCACCCTACCTTGATGGAAACAGTCAATGTGATAAAAGACTTTAATCTCACCTGTTGAACATTAGCAGCAATAAAGACCACATAAACACAACAGAATCCTAATTGTGTTATGGTAAGAAATGTGTTGAGGACCGTACGTGCAACAGGAGCCATGACACGCAGGGGAGCTGGTCCAGTAGCGAAGGCATGGTAGCCAACATCAGCATAATCCATACCACTGATGCCCAGTCTCTCTTTTAATTCATGGGCGCACTGAACCTATTCAGAAAACAATGGTTTAATATGTATTATTTGTTTAACCCTCAGATACAGTGACCTCTTTTATGCTGATATTCTGTGTAGTGAGATATTCTCGTTAATACAACTGAAAAAGCTCATCCAGTATTAAATAATGCAAGTAAAGGCCTTCATAATACATGATATTAAATTTTTGGATACACTTTTTCAATTACATTTGCAAAAAATTGCACAATATATAACAGCTTTATAAGAGGGCTTATTGCATAATATATTTTAACATGTTGGACATATACAGTATATAAATAAACAATTTAGCCTCTTTACACTTTCCTGGGCTCACTTAAAAGCAAGAATAAATAACCAAAAATATTTTAAATAGTATATAGAATTATTAAAATAAAGCTCTAAACTTGTAGGAATTGAACGTACAACAAAATTCCTATTGTGTATTTTAAAAAACTATTTTGTGCTCTCATATGGCTCTTTTTGTTTAAATACAATGGTTTTCAAGTAGGATTTTATGCATGGTAGTACACTAGTTAACTATAGCAGGAGGCCTGGTCACAGACCGGGCCGCGGGGGCGTTGACCCCCGGAACTCTCTCCATGTAAACTCCAGGTATAGGTGTTCCCCGATTTACAATGGCGTTACATTCCGACGAACACATCGTAAGTCAACAATATCCTAAGTCAAATATGAATAATATGCTAAATAAATAAGTAAATAAATAACTACTGTCACTGAATAGGTAAATAAACAATAATTACTGTAACTAACTAAATACCAGCATTGAACAGTAAATAAATGAATACAGCCTCTCCTCACTTAGTGACGTACTCATTTACTGACGCCTAGGACTTATGACAGGCTGTCTGACCAGTATTTATACCTAGATAAAGCATACAGCCTCTCCTCACTTAGCGACGTACTCATTTACTGACGCCTAGGACTTATGACAGGCTGTCTGACCAGTATTTATACCTAGATAAAGCATACAGCCTCTCCTCACTTAGCGACGTACTCATTTACTGACGCCTAGGACTTATGACAGGCTGTCTGACCAGTATTTATACCTAGATAAAGCATACAGCCTCTCCTCACTTAACAATGGAGTTCAGTTCCTAAGACCACATCATTAAACGAATTCAAGGCTCAGTGAGGAACATGTATTATAATGCCTAGAGTTTACCTGGAGAGAGTTCCGGGGGTCAACGCCCCCACGGCCCGGTCTGTGACCAGGCCTCCTGGTGGATCAGAGCCTGATCAACCAGCCTGTTACTGCTGGCTGCACGCAAACCAACGTACGAGCCACAGCCCGGCTGGTCAGGTACCGACTTTAGGTGCTTGTCCAGTGCTAGCTTGAAGACTGCCAGGGGTCTATTGGCAGTCTTCAAGCTGGCACTGGTAGAGAGTTTGTGTCAACCATCTTTGATAATGTTTTAATGTCACCTTTGCACTATCTATAACATTTCTGGTATACGTATTTTAAAATGTTTATACAGTAGTGTACATTGAAATAAACAGAATAGAGGAAATCAGCTCTAATATACATTATTTAGGTATGAATACTGGCCAGAGAGCCCATCGTAAGTCCGAGGCATCGGTAAACGAGTATGTCGCTAAGTGAGGAGAGGCTGTAATTGGTTTTGCACCATTGTAATATCAAAATATCTTAAGTTGAACCATCATAAGTCAAGAAGCATCTGTACCTACGTTAGATATTTCCATCAGGATGGTGGGGAAAACTCCTACATGTGAGCACTGACTCTCAGTTTACTTTCTGCTAAGCGTAGCTATTTTCATTAACTTACACTTTTAACAAGGTGTAAACATTGCAGGAAGGTAATACAACGTACCAGCATGTGCATGCAATGGATGCAAATGGCAGATAAAATTGGTACAAGACCCACACCAGTGTAGAGGCCGGAGTTCTTAAGAGCGTCGGGCATGGCTAGAATTCCCGTGCCAATATTTCCTTTTATTAGATGTATCATTGTTTCACAATTTCTGAGGAAATAATAAAAATGATTAACAATACGAAAGTAATAATGGTGCAGTGAAGGGGGGGGGGAAGTACAGTGCCTGCAGTGAAGGAGGGGTGGTGGTGGGTAGTACAGTGTCTGCAGTGAAGGAGGGGTGGTGGTGGTGGGCAATACAGTGCCTGCAGTGAAGGAGGGGTGTTGGTGATGGGCAGTACAGTGTCTGCAGTGAAGGAGGGGTGGTGGTGGGTAGTACAGTACCTGCAGTGAAGGAGGGGTGGTGGTGGGTAGTACAGTGTCTGCAGTGAAGGAGGGGTAGTGGTGGTGGGCAATACAGTGTCTGCAGTGAAGGAGGGGTGGTGGTGGTGGGCAGTACAGTGTCTGCAGTGAAGGAGGGGTGGTGGTGGTGGGAAGTACAGTGTCTGCAGTGAAGGAGGGGTGGTGGTGGGTAGTACAGTGTCTGCAGTGAAGGAGGGGTGGTGGTGGTGGGCAATACAGTGTCTGCAGTGAAGGAGGGGTGGTGGTGGTGGGCAGTACAGTGTCTGCAGTGAAGGAGGGGTGGTGGTGGTGGGAAGTACAGTGTCTGCAGTGAAGGAAGGGTGGTGGTGGGTAGTACAGTGTCTGCAGTGAAGGAGGGGTGGTGGTGGGTAGTACAGTGTCTGCAGTGAAGGAGGGGTGGTGGTGGGTAGTACAGTGTCTGCAGTGGAGGATGGGTGGTGGTGGGTAGTACAGTGTCTGCAGTGAAGGAGGGGTGGTGGTGGGTAGTACAGTACCTGCAGTGAAGGAGGGGTGGTGGTGGGTAGTACAGTGTCTGCAGTGAAGGAGGGGTAGTGGTGGTGGGCAATACAGTGTCTGCAGTGAAGGAGGGGTGGTGGTGGTGGGCAGTACAGTGTCTGCAGTGAAGGAGGGGTGGTGGTGGTGGGAAGTACAGTGTCTGCAGTGAAGGAGGGGTGGTGGTGGGTAGTACAGTGTCTGCAGTGAAGGAGGGGTGGTGGTGGTGGGCAATACAGTGTCTGCAGTGAAGGAGGGGTGGTGGTGGTGGGCAGTACAGTGTCTGCAGTGAAGGAGGGGTGGTGGTGGTGGGAAGTACAGTGTCTGCAGTGAAGGAAGGTGGTGTGTGGGTAGTACAGTGTCTGCAGTGAAGGAGGGGTGGTGGTGGTAGTACAGTGTCTGCAGTGAAGGAGGGGTGGTGGTGGGTAGTACAGTGTCTGCAGTGGAGGATGGGTGGTGGTGGGTAGTACAGTGTCTGCAGTGAAGGAGGGGTGGTGGTGGGTAGTACAGTGTCTGCAGTGAAGGAGGGGTGGTGGTGGGTAGTACAGTGTCTGCAGTGAAGGAGGGGTGGTGGTGGGTAGTACGGTGTCTGCAGTGAAGGAGAGGTGGTGGTGGGCAGTACAGTGTCTGCAGTGAAGGAGGGGGTGGTGGTGGGCAGTACAGTGTCTGCAGTGAAGGAGGGGTGGTGGTGGGCAGTACAGTGTCTGCAGTGAAGGAGGGGTGGTGGTGGGCAGTACAGTGTCTGCAGTGAAGGAGGGGTGGTGGTGGGCAGTACAGTGTCTGCAGTGAAGGAGGGGTGGTGGTGGGCAGTACAGTGTCTGCAGTGAAGGAGGGGTGGTGGTGGGCAGTACAGTGCCTGCAGTGAAGGAGGGGTGGTGGTGGGCAGTACAGTGTCTGCAGTGAAGGAGGGGTGGTGGTGGGCAGTACAGTGCCTGCAGTGAAGGAGGGGTGTTGGTGGGCAGTACAGTGTCTGCAGTGGAGGAGGGGTGGTGGTGGGCAGTACAGTGTCTGCAGTGGAGGAGGGGTGGTGGTGGGTAGTACATTGCCTACAGTGAAGGAGGGGTGGTGGTGGGCAGTACAGTGCCTGCAGTGAAGGAGAGGTGTTGGTGGGCAGTACAGTGTCTGCAGTGGAGGAGGGATGGTGGTGGGCAGTACAGTGCCTGCAGTGAAGGAGGGGTGTTGGTGGGTAGTACATTGCCTACAGTGAAGGAGTGGTGGTGGTGGGCAGTACAGTGCCTGCAGTGAAGGAGGGGTGTTGGTGGGTAGTACATTGCCTACAGTGAAGGAGGGGTGGTGGTGGGCAGTACAGTGCCTGCAGTGAAGGAGGGGTGTTGGTGGGTAGTACATTGCCTACAGTGAAGGAGGGGTGGTGGTGGGCAGTACAGTGCCTGCAGTGAAGGAGGGGTGGTGGTAGGCACTGCAGTACCTACACTGAAGGAGGGGTGGTGGAAGGCACTACAGTACCTATACTGAAGGAGGGGTGGTGGTGGGCACTACAGTACCTAAACTGAAGGAGGGGTGGTGGTGGGCACTACAGTACCTATACTGAAGGAGGGGTGGTGGTGGGCACTACAGTACCTACACTGAAGGAGGGGTGGTGGTGGGCACTACAGTACTTATACTGAAGGAGGGGTGGTGGGCACTACAGTACCTACACTAAAGGAGGGGCAGTGGTGGGCACTACAGTACCTACACTGAAGGAGGGGTGGTGGTGGGCACTACAGTACCTATACTGAAGGAGGGGTGGTGGTGGGCACTACAGTACCTACACTGAAGGAGGGGTGGTGGTGGGCACTACAGTACCTATACTGAAGGAGGGTTGGTGGTGGGCACTACAGTACCTACACTGAAGGAGGGGTGGTGGTGGGCACTACAGTACTTATACTGAAGGAGGGGTGGTGGGCACTACAGTACCTACACTAAAGGAGGGGCAGTGGTGGGCACTACAGTACCTACACTGAAGGAGGGGTGGTGGTGGGCACTACAGTACCTATACTGAAGGAGGGGTGGTGGTGGGCACTACAGTACCTACACTGAAGGAGGGGTGGTGGTGGGCACTACAGTACCTATACTGAAGGAGGGTTGGTGGGCACTACAGTACCTACACTGAAGGAAGGGTGGTGGTAGGCACAGCAGTACCTATACTGAAGGAGGGGTGGTGGTAGGCACAGCAGTACCTACAATGAAGGAGGGGTGGTGGTGGGCACAACAGTACCTACACTGAAGGAGGGGTGGTGGTAGGCACAGCAGTACCTACAATGAAGGAGGGGTGAGGATGCTGCAGGTTAAAGAGGATTTGAAGTGTGTAGATGAATGGTTCAAAGAACCGACATGTTGTTAAATTAGACACATGTGCAACTCTTGGGTATAAAGATACCCAAGAGTTGCACATGTGTCTAATGTAACAGGATTTGAAGTGTGATGTCTGTACACTTTTGCAAAGACTAATTGAATAAATGATGATGGATGTGTTTAATTCTTTAGGTTACTCTATCTCAGTGATTAGTAAGTTTATCCAGGCACAGCTACACATAAATACAATTGTCATACATACTGTAAATTACCCTCCAGGATAACCCAAAAAAGTTGGACAAAGTGACTTATTTCCATTAACCCAAAAAAGTGTGTTGAAAATAGATGGTCGGTGTGTTGAAAAAACTTACGTAGTCTGTTGATGGGCATCATCAATATGGTGGCCGGATGCAGTAAGTCCCGAGTCATCATCCACATTATCCACATCTGGTCTGTGGTCATCATACCTTTGGGAAACTTGGGTCTTCGCTCGTTCCAGGTCAGGGTCAGGGTTGGGGGCTGTCAACAGCGGACGTGTCTCCAGGGCTCCCCCAGGCATCCCTGAATAGAGAAAATTGCTGGTTTAACTTTTAAGGTTTAAACAATAAGATATTACAAGAACCCCAATGGAATAAAATCACTTTGTCTAACTTTATTGGGTTATCGTAGTTAATTTACACACGTGTGTGTAAGTACATGAAAGTGCTCAGGTATTTTTCCTATTACAGAATCACTGTGGTATTTTTTATATACAGTGGACCCCTGGTTTACGATATTATTTCATTCCAGAAGTATGTTCAGGTGCCATTACTGAACGAATTTGTTCCCATAAGGAATATTGTGAATTAGATTAGTCCATTTCAGACCCCCAAACATACACGTACAAACGCACTTACATAAATACACTTACATAATTGGTCGCATTGGGAGCTGATCGTAAACCGGGGGTCCACTGTATTTGCAATCACACGATTATTGTGATTTCTTCTATATGTTACTGTGTATGATTTATGTAACTGTACGTATTTGTGTAGCTATCTAAATAAGCTTACTAACTGTAGAAATAACAATACTGCGGAGTATTATTATTGCATTCATGGGGGTGACTGCAGTGCCTAAAGGGGTCGTACAACCCATGGGGGAGAAAAAGAAAGCAATTAGGTTCAATCCAAGGAAAGGCAGGATAGGCCAAGTTCCTTGGATCAAGAACCCCTTGCAGGCAACAATTATAACAGATACAATACCTCTTAAAAGGCCAAAAGTAAAGTTCAGTATCTTAACCCTTTCAGGGTCCAAGGCCCAAATCTGGAGTCACGCACCAGTGTCCAAGAATTTTAAAAAAAAAAATTTGTTATTTTTTCTTATGAAATCGTAGAGAATCTTTTTGTGAAGGTAATAAAACAAAAAGTACGAAATTTGGTGGAAAATTGACGAAATTATGCTCTCGCGAATTTTGATGTGTCAGCGATATTTACGAATCGGCGATTTTGCCGACTTTGACTCCCATTTTAGGCCAATTGCATTATTCCAATCAACCAAATTCTTAGCTATTTCACTAGTATTACTTCTATTCTATCGATTGAGCACAAGAAATCGCCAAGTCAACTGTTTCAACTACAAAATAAAGTGATGGGAAATTGTTAATTTGGCCAATTTAACACAAAGTTCAAAATATTCCAATTTCAAAATAGGGTCCAGAATAAACAATGTAGGTATTCCTGGAACTAAACTAACATTTCCTCTGTTCATTAGTTATGTTTTGAGGCTTTACAAATAAATTCCATTTTGATTTTTTATTCACATAATGAATTTTTATTCACACCAAAAAATAGAAGATTTACTGTGATGCAATACTGTAATAATTGTATAAATATCATCACCATATTTGTGAATGTATATTAGACCCACCAGCTGACGTGTATTAGACGTATGAGGTCGTTTGTTTACTCTTGAATATCGGCAAAAATTTAACATTTCTGCTACTTTGAGCTCAGTTTCAAGCCATTTCCAGTGCTAAAACCAATCAAAATCATCTCTATTTCTGTAATATGTCTTCCATTCTATCAAATGAGACCAAGAAATCGCAAATACAACTATAAAAAACATACGAAAAAACACTGCAAAGTTGCTGTTTTAATCGAAAAATCATGATTTAATTTTTTTTCTCTCATTATACACAGTGTGCTGCAGGATCTGTTTTATGTGGTGCACACATACCACATAGATGTATTCTCTCATATCTAGGCCCAAATGTACCACTCACAGTTTATAAGAGTGAGCTGAGCTCATGGCGTAGATCTACGGTTTGGACCCTGAACGTAAAGCCGTAGATCTACGGGACGGACCCTGAAAGGGTTAATGAGGAAATATTAATTACAGCCTCTCCTCACATAACAACAGATTTCCATTCCTAAGACCACGTTAGTAAACAAATTCATCGCTAAGTGAGGAGCATATTACAGTGGACCCCCACATAACGATCACCTCCGAATACGACCAATTATGTAAGTGTATTTATGTAAGTGTGTTTGTACGTGTATGTTTGGGGGTTTGAAATGGACTAATCTACTTCACAATATTCCTTATGGGAACAAATTCAGTCAGTACTGGCACCTGAACATACTTCTGGAGTGAAAAAATATCGTTAACCTGGGGTCCACTGTATAATGGTAGCGGGTTTGTGTCAACCATCTTTAGATATTGTAGATGAATGGTTCACAGAACCGACACGTTGACAAATTAGACCCATATGCAACTCTTGGGTATCTTAAGGAAACATTTCGCTACACAGTGGCTTCATCAGTTCATACACAGGAGAAACGTTTTGCCACACAGTGGCGAAACGTTTCCTTAATAAAGATGCCCAAGAGTTGCATATGTGTCTAATTTATCATCTTTAGATATTGTTTTTATGTCACTTTTGCACCATTTATAACAGTTCTGGTATACTTTTAAATGTTTATACAGTAGCGTACTGTATACTGTAATAAACAGAATAGAGGAAATCAGTTGTAGAAGTATATTACGTGTGGGTGGGGTCGCCCGGCTGGCTACCATACCTGCCACACCTGACTTCTTACAATAAATACAACTCACCTCACCCTACATTAAGACTACAAATATTTTAAGTTAAGTAGTGAGTGTACTGTGTGTATATTTTACTTTGTATTGCTTTTAATGTCTAGTTCTATTGCTAACTTAATATATGTTAGTGTAAACTTGTTATCTGGCATTTATAAGTGGAAAAAATGGCATTCTGCTTTCCGGTGATGTCTGCTTCTGGCGATAGCCTGAGACCTAACCTGCAATATAAGTGGGGCCTTACTGTATACGTACATCATTTAGGTACGAATACTGGTTGGAGAGCCCGTCGTAAGTCTGAGTTGTCGGTAGACGAGTAGTACATGTACATTGCAAAGTGAGGAGAGACTGTTTATCTGACCAGCCGGGCTGTGGCTCGTACGTTGGTTTGCGTGCAGCCAGCAGTAACAGTCTGGTTGATCAGGCTCTGATCCACCTGGAGGCCTGGTCACAGACCAGGCTGCGGGGGCGTTGACCCCCGAAACTCTATCCAGGTAAATTCCAGGAGAGAGTTCCGGGGGTGGATCAGAGCCTGATCAACCAGGCTGTTACTGCTGGCTGCACGCAATCCAACGTACGAGCCACAGCCCGGCTGCTCAGGTACCAACTTTAGATGCTTGTCAAGTGCCAGCTTGAAGACTGCCAGGGGTCTATTGGTAATCCCCCTTATGTATGCTGGGAGGCAGTTGAACAGTCTCTGGCCCCTGACACATTGTATTGTCTCTTAATGTGCTAGTGACACCCCTGCTCTTCACTGGGGGAATGTTGCATCGTCTGTATTGTAATCATGGAAACCATTACCCTTCTAGAGTGTCATTCATGGTAGTGACCCAGCCATGGGGACAGGGTGCTAATGGGGTTAAAGATCTTCCCACAAAAAATGAAATACCAATACAGTGGACTCTCGCTTAACGATCACCTCCCAATGCGACCAATTATGTAAGTGTATTTATGTAAGTGCATTTGTACGTGTATGTTTGGGGGTCTGAAATGGACTAATCTAATTCACAATATTCCTTATGGGAACAAATTCGGTCAGTACTGGCACCTGAACTTACTTCTGGAATGAAAAAAATATCGTTAACTGGGGGGTCCACTGTATTTTTTTTAATTAATGGCTAATTTTCATTTTATTATATAAAGCAGTGACCACTAAAACATGACACAGAAATGTCACATACATACAGAAAGTCATGTTTTTAACAATGATTTCATTGACTTTTTCTGTGATCTATGAGTTTTAGACCTCCCCCCCCTCCCCCCCAATTAAAAGCCCAGCTATTGTTTCATTGAACATTATGGAAAATACTTACAATTCTTTAACATACAATATACTTCCTTAATTCCTGTGTTCTTGTATAAGATTCACTGACTTGTTTTGAGAAATAATTCATGAACAATTTAAGGCACCAAAATTTAGCAGTAGTCTGAAAAATGTTCAAACTTTTCGATCGATATTTAGAGTCGAGAATAATGCTCTCGAAGTGAAGTATTATTATACCTTTGATGGGTCTCCAGAGTTCTCTTCCTTTCTAAGGTTGGTCGTGGGAAAACTTTATTATATTCCGGCGGAACAAAAAAAAGATAAATGTAGATGTATAATGCAATCCTTTACTGTTGACGTTTTGCCCACACACACAGTGGACTTTATCAAGTTACATATATATGTATGATGAAGGTGTGTATGATGTATGTATAATGTATGCATGATATGTGGATGTATGATGTAGGTATGTATGATGTATGTATAATGTATGCATATGTGGATGTATGATGTAGGTATGTATGATGTATGTATAATGTATGCATATGTGGATGTATGATGTAGGTATGTATGATGTATGCATGATATGTGGATGTATGATGTAGGTATGTATGATGTATGTATGAAGTATGTATGTATGATGTAGGTATGCATGATGTATGTATGATGTAGGTATGCATATATGATGTAGGTATGTATGCTGTATGTATGATAAGATAAGATAAGATTTCGTTCAGATTTTTAACCCCGGAGGGTTAGCCACCCAGGATAACCCAAGAAAGTCAGTGCGTCATCGAGGACTGTCTAACTTATTTCCATTGTGGTCCTTAATCTTGTCCCCCAGGATGCCACCCACACCAGTCGACTAACACCCAGGTACCTATTTGCTGCTAGGTGAACAGGACAACAGGTGTAAGGAAACGTGTCAAAATGTTTCCACCCGCCGGGAATCGAACCCGGCCCCTCCGTGTGTGAAGCGGAAGCTTTAGCCACCGGACCACCGGGCTGTATGTATGATGTATATATGATGTATGTATGATATATGTATGTATGATGTATGTATGTATGATGTATGCATGTATGATGTATATATGATGTATGTATATGTATGTATGATGTATGTATGTATGTATGATGTATATATGATGTATGTATGATATATGTATGTATGATGTATGTATGTATGATGTAGGTATGCATGATGTAGGTATGTATGATGTATATATGATGTATGTATGATGTATGTATGTATGATGTATGTATGTATGATGTAGGTATGCATGATGTAGGTATGTATGATGTATATATGATGTATGTATGATGTATGTATGTATGATGTATGTATGTATGATGTAGGTATGCATGATGTAGGTATGTATGATGTATATATGATGTATGTATGATGTATGTATGTATGATGTAGGTATGCATGATGTAGGTATGTATGATGTATGTATGATATATGTATGTATGATGTATGTATGATATATATAAGATGGATGTATGAATGATGTATAATGTTTGTATGTATATAATGTATGTATATGTATTATAAATATGTATGATCCTGGATCATAATAGATATATTAGTAAATATTAGACAATCTACTTGAGACAGGAAGCGCTAAACCCGTAAGGATCACACAACACCTGAGGTATGGGAGGCAAGATCCAAGGAAGGAGAGCTCAGATCCACCTCCACGGATCAAGAACCCATCACTAAACCTCCCTTAAGGGGGGATAAGGGGGAAAAAATGTTAAAATAGGAAGGTGTTAAAATTACGTATTATCAGTGATGACTTGTCACAAATACTCCATAAACCAATATTTACCCCCAGATAAACCCCCAGGGGGGTCACACCCCCCAGACACACTCACTTGTGATGGAACTGATAGGCCTAGGCTCCAAAATAATAATATTTACAAAGGTTGTTTATGTGGGTGTTGATCCAGGTGGTGGTGTCTCAACCCTTCACTCTGACCTTGACTTCGACCTCACTCACTCCTTATTTTAACCTCATACTCCATATATATGTCTTTATGGGACCCTATAGCAAATACGGGACCTCCCTGGAAATAAGTATGAGATGTCCAATGTAAGTAAATACGGGATCTTCAGTGTAAATCAATATAGGACCTTCAATATAAATAAGGAACCTCTAATGTAAATAAAGAGCCTTCAGTGTAAATAAGGAACTTTCATTGTAAATAAAGAACCTCCAATGTAAATAAGGAACCCCAATGTAAATAAAGAACCTTCAGTGTAAATAAGGAACTTTCATTGTAAATAAAGAACCTCCAATGTAAATAAGGAACCCCAATGTAAATAAGGAACCCCAATGTAAATAAGGAACCCCAATGTAAATAAGGAACCCCAATGTAAATAAGGAACCCCAATGTAAATAAGGAACCCCAATGTAAATAAGGAACCTTCGATGTAAATAAGGAACCTCCAATATAAATAAGGAACCAATGTAAATAAGGAACCTCCAATGCAAATAAGGAATCCCCCAATGGAAATAAGAAATCCCAATGTAAATAAGGAACCCCAATGTAAATAAGGAACCTTTGATGTAAACAAGGAACCTTCGATGTAAATAAGGAATCTTCGATGTAAATAAGGAACCTTCGATGTAAATAAGGAGCCTTTTATGTAAATAAGGAACCTCCAATGTAAATAAGGAATCCCGATGTAAATAAGGAATCCCAATGTAAATAAGGAATCCCCCAATGTAAATAAGAAATCCCAATGTAAATAAGGAACCCCAATGTAAATAAGGAACCTCCAATGTAAATAAGGAACCAATGTAAATAAATAGGGGGGCCTTAAATGTAAATAAATTTCTGTAGATAAATCTATATTTGTGGCAGTCTGTGCTAGAATTAGTAAATCACTGTAACTCATGTGTCATTACTCTGGTATGATATATCCACCAGTCATATGATGACCCACAGCTAGAGCTTTTGGTCATCTGACCGAGGCCTTCCACTGGCTTACCCCCTCCACCCCTTCGAAAAATTATAATGATAACTATTAGATAAATTACACATAAACACTTCAAGTGTAGTGGTGACACTTTCAGTTCACAACTGAAAGTGCCCGGGTTGAATACTGGGCTAGGAGAGACATATGAACAAGTCACCTAGCAACTGCTTCAACTATCACCTAGCAGTAACTAAGATATTTAAGAGATAGTCAACTTGTGTGGATCACACTCCTGAGGATCCCCTGGAATTAAGCCACATTGCTAGGCTTCCTTGGCTTATTAAGTAAGTAAGTATATTCATCTATACACAAATACAGTTACATAGATTATCATACATAGCAGTATATGTGTAGAGAACCTGGGATAACCCAAAAAAGTCAGAGTGACTTATTTCTGGATTATTACTAAACGAAATATACAGTAATGGGGAGGAAAATCTCCCAGTGGCCATTATGACATTTGACAAGGTTAAGAGTGAGCCAAAATATACACTGCAGGGTTATAAATAGTCAAGGTTATCAACACTAAACACAAGTTGTGGCATCTCTTGTACCCTGTAGCAGTGAGTTAATGTTTTATTTAATATACACAACCTTGCCCTTGTCACCAGGCTGTGCAAGTTATGTCCTGGAATTTGTATTGATAAAGCCACTGGATGGCGAAACATCTACAATAAAGATACCCAGATGTTGCACATGTTTCTTAATTTTGTTACCAGGCTACATGCATGATCAACACCATGCCAGAGTTAGTTTAATATGTTTATTATGCACCCCATACCCATCCTGTGGGCGGTAGTCAAAATATTACAGAGGTACTCCAGGTAAACTCCAGGTACATAATTGGTCCAGGGACTGGACTCCAAAGTTTTGATACCTGAGCAAGTTACAGAGGTAATGAACTCACAATTTACAAAGGTAATGAACTCACAATTTACAAAGGTAATGAACTCACAATTTACAAAGGTAATGAACTCACAATTTACAAAGGTAATGAACTCACAATTTACAAAGGTAATGAACTCACAATTTACAAAGGTAATGAACTCCAGGTAGGTCTGGTCACAATCATGACAAGTTACAAAGGTATTTACAGAGTCTATATAATTATGAAGAATGTGCAGGCCACCTGACACCTGTCAGGTGCGTTGCCCTCAGGTTGATAAGACATGCAACTGTGAGTTATCTTTATTCCGACACGTTTCGCCACACAGTGACTTCCTCAGTCTAATACAGAGAAGGATAGTTGAAGAACAAAAGGAGTTTGAGGTCCATCAGGTTAAGTAAGGTCAGGTTCGTCAGGAAACAAGACAAGTGTTTCCTGACGCGGGTCTTAGTCAGATGATGACCCACTGATGGAGCTTTTGGTCAGCTGACTGAGGCTTTCCTTTAAAAATTATAGTTATAGTCAGAGTTATAACCATTTAGTGAGGTTCGTCAGTCTTGAAAAGACTGACTGATCACATCGACTCCAGACTGAGGGACTGATTACCTCAAACTCCTTCTTATCTTTTTATTTATTTTTTTTTATTTACAATTTGAGCATACATACAGAGGTACAAAAAAATACAGATAAGAGCAGCATGCCAAAGCCACTTATCTTCACTTATCTTCAACCATTCTTCTCTGTATTGGACTGAGGAAACCACTGTGTGGCGAAATGTTTCCACACTAAATATACCAGTCCATCAGTCCTCGAAGACGCAGTTTTCTCTGAATCTGAAATCATTTTTTTGCACGGGCTTGCAACAGTGCCCCTCAAGGGAGGTTCCTTGACGCTGGTGAGGGACTCTTGATCTAGGGAATTGGATCTGTGCTCCAGTTCCCTGAATACCTTCCATCCCCCTCACAGGCGCTGTATATTCCCTACGGGTTTAGCGTCCCCACATAATCATATATATACCAGCAACAGTGCAATAACTCGACAAACTGGATTAAAAACAGTTTAAGCACCTCGCTTATATTGGATGGTAGGAGTATGGGCACTGAGGCGCTCCACCATTAACACGTTTCGCCCCTCCATCTTATCTCCCTGATACACCCCATCAACTAACTACACGAATACCACCTGGTGGTTCACACTTACACTCACTCACCCATTTGACCATAAACAGAAATATTAATCTCAATCTTAAAATAATGAATCCTATGATACTCCAATACTGAAACTATGTACTGTGCCAAAACAAAAGCATTCACATTGCTAAACTCACAAACTAGTATTTAGTCACTTAGCCATAATACCAACTTATCTCATAATTTGTAATATTTTAAAATAAAGAATTAAACTAAGTCTGCCCGAAATGCCTAGCCATGCTAGGTGTTCTAGTGGTACACTCTGTAATCATTATTTAACTACATGTAAACCACAAAACAACCAAATTCTGTAAATTCAACATTGTAATCTTTATGGAGAATAAACTTTGAATTTGAATTTGAATTTGATTATTATTATTATTATTATTATAATCAAGGGGGAAGCGCTAAACCCGTAGGATTATACAGCGCCCAGGGAGGGATGTGGAAGGCATTCAGGCTTAATTCGGGGAACTGGAGCACAGATCCAATTCCCTAAATCAAGAGCCCCTCACCAACATCAAGGAACCTTCCATGAGGGGAATTTTAATTTGAAAGGCAGCCGCTGGTGTACAAGTCTTGGGGACACTTACGTCTTACAACATAAACTGTGAAAGAATGGTTGTGTGAAAGAAGGACCAGCCTAGCACAGGCCAGTAGGCCTACTACACTTCTAATCCCTGCTTGTGTGATCTAAGTCAAAATACAAAAAAAAAATTGGGAGAAGAATCAATAGGTTATGTTTTAGCTGGGCACGTCATTCAATCAGTCAGGTTAAACACTGTTGTGTCTGATCAGTAAATTATAGGGTGACCACCTCTACATAGTAAGTTAATTCAGGTACAAGGACACAATGCAATTATCAAACATAGTATATATGTAAATTACCCTCCAAGATAATCTAAAAAAAATCATGTGACTTATTTTCATTGGGATCCTTACAGCAACAAATTCAAGTTGGATATATTTAGATTTAGAAGGAATATAAGAAAGCACTAGTTTGGCAATAGAGTTGTGGATGAGTGGAACAAACTCCCAAGTGTCATCACTGAAGTGAGATCTATGTGTAACTTGAAGAACAAGTTGAATACGTCAGTGTGTGTGGGTAGGTGTGAGTTGAACCTACCTATCTGTTATTACACTAGCAACTGCAAATATAAGTCAGTTAATACTGAATTCCCACGTCAGGATATATATATATATAGTATATATATTATATATATATATATATATTTTATATATATATATATATTATGTCGTGCCGAATATGTAAAACTGGTCAATTGGCAAGAACTCATTTAAAATTAAGTCTTTTATAAAATTTTCTCTTATACGTTTAAAGATATATATTTTTCATTATTGTTAATGTAAAAAAATTTAATTTTGCTCCAAAAGAATCTTAGAAAACTTACCTAACCTTATTATAACAAGAACAATTTATTTTAGCCTAACCCAACTAAATATATTTTAGATTTGTTTACAATAATTTAATACTAAACAAACACAGTGAAATATATTTTTTTCGTTAGGTTCAGCATGATTTTGGCAAAATTATTGTATACACAAATTTTCACCCACGATGTCAGCGATGGCACTGCAGGGAGTGCCGGGCTCATAGGAACTTCCACTACAGTGACAGCATCGTGGAGTTCGACCGTGAGGCAGCTGCCAGGTGTGCCACAGGCAGTGTGTACTCAGTTCCTCAAGCTTCAACATCCGTGCACACGAGGGCCTGGGATCTTCAATCAACTTGGCGTCCACCAGGACGCTGACATGTCCCTAGGACAGCTCTCCATCGGGCTGCTAACGGAGTCACTGGCTTCTTGGACCTCTTGGGGAGGGTCGATGGTGCTCGTGCAAGCAGCAGATCCCTGGGCAACTTGCTGCTGTCTGCAATGGCTGTCTACCGAGGAGAGACAGGCACCTAGCAACATCTGTTGTTGGGGCAATGGATGAATTCCCTACTATGTTTGTTAACTGCTCATTACTCTGTAATTTGTCTATGATTGTAATCATGTCATAAAAGTGTTTATCATTCATTACCTTTGAAACTTGTCATGATTGTGACCAGCTCTACCTGGAGCTCAAATTTCCTTTGTAAATTCTCATGAT